GAGATTCCCCCACTAACCCAACTAATCAAAAAGAGGAAGAAGATACAAGTTCATGGAATCAGAGAGGAATCAGGAAATATAGTAGCGGATACCTCAGACTTGTATATACATAAAGTAATCAAGAACTATTACAAGCAACTCTACGCAAAACAAATCAGAAGACCTAGAAAAAAACCCATGGTTTTTTTGGACATATACATCCTACCCAAATTGAATCATGAGGTTAATCTTTAAATAGTCACATAATCTGGATGGAGACTGAATTAGTAATTAAACCCCTCCCAAAAAAGAAAAGCCCTGGACCAGATGGCCTTACTGCTGAATTCTACCGGATACTCCAAGAAGAACTTGTCCCAATCCTCCACAACCTATTTAAAACAATAGGAAGGGAGATGGTCATTCCGAACTCTTTCTATGGAGTCAACATCACCTTAATACCAAAGCCAGAGAGACACACAACACAGAAAGAGAACTACAGACGGAGAGCCTTGAACTTGTAAGTACATTTCCTTTTAAAATAGTATAGAAGTGTCAGATGATGACTGCCAACTGCCCGCTAGTGGGATAATATCAGCAAGTTGTCCAAAGTTGTAATGAAAGCTTTCTTGGAAAATCTGCTCCTGGGCTGCCTTCGCGCAGCATGGAGGGAAGAAGGAGGAAGCAATAAGGGTGGGCCGAGAGACTTGTCAGGGAGTCTTATACCTCTCTGGGCACAGGGGCTGGCAGAGGGGCCGTCTGTACCCTAGTTAGGCAAGGAACATCCGTTCAGGTGTGTCATTGGTCGGCTGGAATCCTGCCAGGCCAGTGATGCAACTGGCTCCTGAAGCCCCTCCCTGCTCTGGGCTGAAACTTGAGCAACAGGCAGGGTCTGGAGTGAACCCAGCCTCTGCTCTCCAGCACCCTGGACAGCCGTCAAGAAGAATCTTAAACACCTCAGAACAATCTAACTAGAAACTTGTAAGACCTCTATGATGAAAATTACAAAACATTAAAAAAAGAAATAGAAGGTAGACACCTCCAATCTTTATTAAAAGATGGAGAAATTTACCATATTCATGGATTGACAGGATCAACATCATCAACATGATCATACTACTGAAAGTAACATACATGTTCAATGCAATCTCATACAAAATCTTAGCAACATTCTTCTCAGAAATAGAAAAGATGGTAGGAAAATTAATCTGGAAACACAAGAGACCAGAACTAGCGAAAGCTATCCTGAAGAATAAAAATCAAGCTGGAGGAATCGCAATTCCAGGCCTCAAGACATACTACAGGGCAGTGGACATCAAAAGAGTCTGGTGCTGGTACAGAAACAGAGAAGATCAATGGAATAGAACAGAAACCCCAGAAGGGAGCCCACACATGCACACATGTGTAGCTAACTAATCTTTGATAACAGAACTTAAAATTATCCAGGGAAAAAGCTTGGTCCCAAATGCTGTTGGGACAATTGGATGGCAGCCTAGAGAGGTAAGAAGCAAGAAGCAAAAACCCAACCTGCTACCTCATATAAAAATCAGCTCTAATTGGACCAAGGACCTAAATCTGCACCCAGAAATCACCAAACTATCATAGGGAAACATAGGAAGCACTCTTCAGGATACAGGAGTAAGGAAAGACTTCTTGACAAAGACACCAAAAGCACAGGTAGTCAAAGCCAAAGTAAGCAAATGGGACTACATCAAGCTAAAAAGCTTCTGATAAGAAAAAAAAAAATCAACAAAGAAGCAATCAACAGAATGGAACAAAATCTTTGCACACTACATAACTGACAGGGGACTAATATCCAGGATTTACAAAGAGCTTCAGAAATTCAACTACAGTAAAATAACCAACCATGTGAAGAAATGAGGCAAGGAAATGAACAGATATTTTTCAAAATAACAAATTCAAAAGGCTAATACAAATGAAAAAATGCTCAGGCTCCCTAATCAGCAGGGAAGTACAGATAAAAATCACACTGAGGTTCCATCTAACTCCAGTGAGACTGGCCTATATTCAGAGCAGAGAGGGGCCCTTCCAGTCATGTCAGAGGTCATGTTCAACGTCTATTCCCCTAATCCTTTTGGTCATGTTGGAGGTCATGTTCCACAATTCAATATTCTACTAACAACACCTGCTGTGCTCCACTGTTGGTGGGAATGTAGGCTTGTACTAGCACTTTGGATGTCAGCATGGAAACTGCTAAGACAACCGAAAATTGGCCTGCTGTATCTACAACCCAGCTATTCCACTTTCTGGGAATATATCCAAAGAAAATGAAATTTGCATATGAGAAAATGACCTATATATACAGCAGCACAATTTAAATAACAAAGATAGGGAAGCAACAGTAAGATGCCTGCTGAAAGAAATGGATGAAGAAATTGGTATATTTACTATATGGAATACAATTCAGCCATTAAAAAGAATGAAATTCTACCGTTTGCTGCAAAATGGTCCCAATCCCAACTAGAGAGCTTTACGTTCAGTGGAATAAGCCAATCCCCAAGGGACAAATATTGTATGTTCTCCCTGATATAAGGTAACCTTCATACAATATCAATAGATACACAGGTAAACATGCACGCATATATAACATCTAGAGGAACTGTAAAAGGGAGATTAACATGCTGAGAAGTGAAGTTACATTGCAGTATGCATCTCTACTGTCAAATCAAACATCAATACCCAAAGCAACTGCTAAATGTGTCTTGACAACTGGATGCTGTACTTTCTACCATTGTCTAAACCTACAATGTCATGATACACTGAAATAGAAGACAAGTGGACTTGCGAATGATGCTAAAGGACTATACAACTATAATAACATAGGGGAGATCAGGTAATTGGGGGAGTAAGGAGAGTGGGGGGCGGGAACCTCGGAGCCTATGGAACTCTATCTTGAAAAATAAACATGAAAAAAACTTAAAGAATATGAGCTCTCACTTTTGTGAAAATAATTTGGTTGACTCTTTTTTTTTTTTTGAGATTTATTTATTTGTTGGAAAATAAGAGTTACAAGCAGAGGGGAAGAGACAGACATCTTCCACCTGCTGGTTCATTACCCGGATACCCCTGATAGCCAGTACTGGGCCAGGCCAAGCCAGGAGCCTGCAGCTTCCTTCAGGGCTCCCACATGGGTTAGGTCCCCAAGCATCAGGCCATTAGCCAAGGGTTGGATTGGAAGTGGAGCAGCCAGGATACAAACAGGTTCCCATGTGAGATGCTGTTCTTGCAGGCAATGACTTTATCTGCTGTGCCCAAACACTGGCCACAAGCTGCTTGCTTCTTGACACTGCATAACTTTAAACACCATCTATATTCATGACTTTCAAATCACCTTTCCCAGCACTGTTTTATCCCCCAAACTCTAGGCCAATGGAACCTCCACTGCGATATTTAAAACATCTCAAACGTTATAGGGAACTCACACAATTTCCCCCTTAAACTTACCTCCCCCTACCTACTGGTTGTGTCCGTCACAGGAAACTGTCCCACACCACACACCATCACTGAATCCAAGCTACAGTCTCGAAATACAAACACACACCATCCCTGGTTTCCATCAACCTTCCACTGAGCTAACCACCTGCTGGGGCAGGTACAGGGGACAGCAAGCAGCTGGGTAAGTCTAAATAATGTGAACATGGAAATGAGCCAGAATAAGAGATTTGTTTTCTTTAACAAAATCAATTACAAGGTAGGGCAACGCATGGAAGAAGAATCGATACGTTAAAAGAAATTTGATGAAGAGATAATACAAGTACAGTGTTTGCCCCTTAAATTTCGATTTTGATTCAGAGATACTGTTGGAAAAAAAAAGCTAGTAAAATGGGAAGCCTCTATGCCCCAATAATTAAACGTTTTCAGTGTGAGCCTAGTGCTCCGAACAGTCTAACATGAGTAAATGTCTCCTAGAGATTCATCCTGAAATACCAGTGGTTCAATGCTGCAGATTTGCTACAGGTTTAAAAGCCCAGTAAACGGATATGGCTACTGTTGAAACAAAACTGGTCACGTGAGTGACAGATGGAGGCTAATTAGGCTAGTCATAAAATTTCAGAGTATGTTTGAAATTTTTCGCAATAAAAGCTTAAAAGAAAACGGATTATTCACAACACTTTTTAGAAATCTCAACGTATTTATGTTACTGCATGGTTTTCCTAAAGATTATTTAGATGCAGGGCCTAACACAATAGCGTAATGGTTAAGGTCCTCACCTTGAACCCGCTGGGATCCCATATGGGTGCCGGTTCTAATCCTGGCAGCTCCACTTCCCATACTGCTCCCTGCTTGTGGCCTAGGAAAGCAGTTGAGGAAGGCCCAAAGCCTTGGGACCCTGAACCCATGTGGGAGACCCAGAAAGAAGTTCCTGGCTCCTGGCTTCGGATCGGCATAGCATCAGCCATTGCGGTCACTTGGGGAGTGAATCATCGGATGCAAGATCTTCCTCTCTATCTCTCCTCCTCTCTGTACATCTGCCTTTCCAATAAAATAAATAAATCTTTAAAAAAAAAAGATTATTTAGATCCAGAGTGATGGGATAAAGAGAGGGCTAGGGAGAGAGAAAGAGATAGATTTTTCCATCCACTGCTTCATGTCTCAAATGTTTACAACACCCAAGGGCTAGACCAGGCCCAAACTAGGAACTAGCAGCTCCATCCACATCTCCCATGCACTGGCAGGAACCCAATACCTGGGCCATCATCTGCTGCCTCCCAGGCACATTAGCAATGGAGCTGGATTGGCAGCAGAGGTAGGACTCCATCCCAGGAACTCTGCTAAGGGATCTGGCCATAACAAGCGGTGGTTTAATTCTCTGTGGCAATGCCTGCCCCACCGTACAGCTCTTAATTATTTGTTATGCACTGTCACACACCTCAGAATAAAATGCAAGTTCTCTAAGAGCAAGAATGTACTAGCGTACTGTACAGTATCTCAAAGTAGCTATAGGAATGCCCAGTTCTTGATATATATTGCTGAACGAAAAGCATACAATGTTGGGACTGCATTTAGAGTTCTAAATCAGCTCCACGGCTGTCATCAAAGAAAGCCCGGGGTGTCACGTGTAGCTGGCCATGGCTTACCTTCACTTCGATGAAGTCAGGATTCCCCAGGCTCACGAGCTCAGCATACGCCTGCAGTTCATCCACATTCCAGGCCTTCACCAGCGTCAGTCGGTACACAGTTCGTTGTTTCTGAAATGAAAGAGAGCCCAACTTTGTCTGTATGTTGGTGGAATATCTAACATTCTTTTTTTTTTTAAGATTTATTTTTAATTTTTGTTGGAAAGGCGGATATATAGAGGACAGACAGGGAGGAAGATCTTCCGTCTGATGATTCACTCCCCAGGCGGACGCAAGGGCTGGAGCTGAGCCAATCCAAAGCCAGGAGCCTCTTCTGGGTCTCCCACATGCGTGCAGGGTCCCAAAGCTTTGGGCGGTCCTCGACTGCTTTCCTGGGCCACAGGCAGGGAGCTGGAAGGGAAGCGGGGCTACCAGGACTAGAACCGGTGGCCATATGGGATCCTGGGCGTGCAAGGCGAGGACCTTAACCACTGCGCCATCGTGCCGGGACCAATATCTAGCGTTCTTAAGGAAGGAGGATGCTCAGACATTTTCAACCCACAGAGAATGCAGATGAGGTTGAGGCTATCATGAATATCTGCAAATTGGTCTTGATTTGGAGAAAGATGAAAAGTATCCGCAATGAAGTAACACTCTCGGAGGCCTCTGTCTCTCTACTCACACCATCCCCGACACTAGGTTAGGTACCCACAGATTTCTTGACGCATTCACAATGAATTTGATTTAGGAAGAAACAGTTAACTCTCCAAAGAGTTTGAGGCTATGAAAAATTACATCAAGAAATCTTCAGGCATTCAGGTAATAACCCTCAGCTTGGTAATCACAAGAATTATTAATTACTCTTGTCCCCTTTCCTTTTTCTCATTATTTAGTGATCTCCTGGCATTTCTTGATGGCAGAAAAGGTGCATTTGGGGGCTGTCAGCATTGCCCTTTATTTACTATGTACCAAGAACTACCAGCTTTCTGAAAAGCAATTAGTCAGCTGTCATTAAACTTTACAAATACTTGTATACTTTGACCCTATAGCTCCTGCCTAGGATCCAAAAGGAATAATTGAAGAATCTCAGAAAAACATTATTGATGACAAAGCATTAATAATTATCAAATTTATATTCAGAGCCTATCCATGAGTGGGAGGCAGGACCTGCGACTTGCCCGTAACTCCAGAACACGGCAAAGGTATTTGGCTAGGTGTACTCAATGATGCATGAATGTCTGCACCATGTTCCCAGTAGCAATCCAGTAACCACACCCCAAATCATGTCTTACATAACAAGTCTCACAACATGAAGGGAGACACGAACAAAATCATAGCAATTTTTTTCACTGTTGTCTGTGTGGGGAAATTTCCATAATTAATAAAAGGAAGGAGCACTGAGATCTTTAATAAAGAAAAAAAGAGAGAGATCTTTTGTAAAGAGCATTGGGCATTCCTACCAATAGATGGTGCTTTCCAAGCCGATTTACTGGTAAACTGCATTGAAAAGTCCCTTTCAAAGCATAGTGTAAGGCTGGGAGCAGGTCACTCTGCTGGACTGCAGCACCTACTGGCGAGCGTTGGGGCTGGGCAGTGGGGGCACACTGATCTGCAGCACCCACTGATATGTGAGAAGCAGGACTTGGGGTGACCCTGTTAGGAAATTCTTGGGAATGCCAACACATGCAGGCACACGCAGGAGTTGGGGTGGGAGGGCAGGCTGGGTTGAGCTAGGCTGCAGCACCCACCAGCACATAGGAGAACTGGGACTGGCACTGGGCACATTAGGGGATCACAGGGTCACCCCGATTAGGCCACAGTACTTGCCATGTGTGTGAGAGACTGGGTTGGGTCATGTGAAGCTGCAGCGCCGGCAGCACCCGCAGCTCCTGCAGCACGTGCAGGTTCACATTGAGAACAAGGACTGGGGGCTTCAAACAAGCATCTGTATCCACTGGTGTGTGCACTGTGGCTGGTACGGGGCGCAGGTTGAACCCAACCCTGCACCAGCTGGCACACATAAAAGCAAGGTGAGGTTTCTAAGGGGCTTCCCCACTAAACTACTGTGCTCAATCCCCAACCTCAGGGGGAAAAAAAAATCGCACAGACATGTGGTCCAACCCCAGAGCATATGTCACAGGGTAGGCCACCTCAGCAGCTAAACCTTATGCAGGAATGGAGAGCGTACCCAGATAAAGACGAAAGGCAAGACAACCAGCTCACCTAAGCCAACAGAAAACTTTGTGTACCTCATCAAAAGATAGGGGATGAGGAAGAAGATGGGAGGAAAGACAGGTTGAACAACGCTCCAGAGCAGGCGCTACAACAAGCCTTGTGGGCACGCTGAGGTGGACAAGGGCAGCAAAGAAGCTTAAGAAGAATTTCTCACCTCTGGTGTAAAGAGGCCATGCTGATAACTTCTCACAACAATCCAGACCACTCAGGCAACACCCTCAGAACATTCCTCCTCACATTGGGGCCTCGAAGGTGACAACAAACAGCTGTTTCTATCCATGGGTTACACTGATATCGGTGTAACACAAGTGTTACCCATTGCGTTACAGCAAGGAACAGCACACTTTTCCCCCACAACACGGTAAGGAAAATGGAAACATCTTCCCAACTTCCCCCCCATCCTGACTCTCACCATCCTAATTGGAGGCCTAAATAGGTCTGCAATTCTTTGCCCTTATAATAAATATTACAACAAAATTAAGTTGATTTTAAACAGGCAGAGTGTACCGCTGAGTAGCTGCTGCTTGGGGTACATGCACTTTCACACCACATCAGAGTGTCTGCCTCTGCTTCCAGTCCGGCTAATTGCTAATGTGCACCTGGAAGGCAGCAGGTTCAAATGATTTAAACACTTGGGTTTGTTGCCGCCCATCAGAGACACTTGAATGGAATTTCAACCTCCTGGCTTTAGCCTATCCCAGCCTCAGCTTTGTGGACATTTGAGAATGAACAAGCAGATGGAAGAAATCTCTCTTCCCCTGGCCCTACTCTTTTTTTTGTAGTGAATGTACATAAATGAAAAATAAATAAATAACCAACTGGTCCCTTGGATCACAAATATATTTGAACATATTTAAAATGTCATATATAATGCAAGAGAAGCTAGAATGTTCCCAAAGTCTAAACTTAACAAAAAGAGCAGAAAACTGCCGACTGTTATCACTTACACTAATTCAAGCGAAAAATTTACAAAAATTTTAGTGAATAAATTTCAGTACCGTGTTAAAAAAATTCTAGGAATGAAGGCCCGGTGTGGTAGCCTAGTGGCTAAAGTCCCGGACTTGCATGTGCTGGTTCATGTCCTGATTGCTCTACTTCCCATCCAGCTCCCTGCTTGTGGCCTGGGAAAGCAGTCGCAGATGGCCCAAAGCCTTGGGACCCTGCACCCATGTGGGAAACCTGGAAGAAATTCCTGCCTGCTAGCTTCAAATTGGCTCAGCTCCAGCCATTGCAGCTGCTTGGGGAGTGAACCATCAGATGGAAAATCTTCCTGCTTTATAAAACTGTTGCTTTATGAGACTTCAGCATCCAACAGAGTTAGTAATTCTCAATCACATGCAATTTTACACCATAGGATAAACATGTGGCCACATCTTGGGGTTTTCTCTCTTTCTTTCTTTCTTTCTTTCTTTCTTTCTTTCTTTCTTTCTTTCTTTCTTTCTTTCTTTCTTTCTTTTTTTCTTTCTTTCCTTCCTTCCTTCCTTCTTTCTTTCTTTCTCTTGCTTGCTTGCTTGCTTGTTTGCTTGCTTGCTTTCGCAAGTGGAGCCTGCAACTGACATCTAGTTGATGGTCTAAGCTCAAAGACAAGCATCCCCTGATGCACAAGGAAGTCCTCCACTCCTTCCCTTACAAAGAGTTATCTGGGGACTGGCATGATGATACAGCAAGCTAATACTCTGCCTTCAGTCCCAGCATCCCATATGGGTTTGTGTCCTCACTGCTCCACTTCCCATCCAGCTTCCCGCTTACGGTCTAGAAAGGCAGTAGAGGATGGCTCAAGTCTTTGGATTTGGGTCCAGGGGAAGCTCTTGGCTTCAGATCAGGTCTGCTGTAACTGTTGTGGCCACTTGGAGAGTAAACCAGTAGATGGAAGATTTCTCTCTCTCTCTTTCTCTCTCTCCTCTTCTCTTTGTAACTTTGCCTTTCAAATACAAATAGATATTTTTAAAGATGTATTTATTATTTTAATTGTAAAGACAGATTTACAAAGAGGAGATGCAGAGAGAAAAAAAATATTTTAAAAAAAATTATCTGGCCAAAGAGGTTAGCACTGTCAGAGTTGAGAGATCCTGTATTTGAACAGGTTCTCTGATATATCCTCAAGAAAGCCTTGTTATTCTTGGTCCTCTGTATGTGCATAACCATTTTATAATCGATTTACCAACTTCCACAAATAACCACAACTCTTGATGTCTTTCACTTATGTGACACTAAATATATAAGCAGATGTTGTCCCACAGAAATACAATAGGAATCAAAAAATTTTCTAATGAGCTCATTGAGAAAATAAGAAATTAACAAAACTTTGTGGGGGTTTTTTTTGGTGAAGATAAGGTGAAAAAGTTAAAAAGCAAAACCTTAACAGATGGAATTAGTTCATAAAACATATTTTGGGGTGGGCATTTAGGCAATTAAGTCACCAGGGACGTGTGCTTGAGTCCCACATCACGTATCTGACTTCTGTGCCTGGCTCCTGGCTCCAGCTGCCTGCAGACAGGGAGCTTTGAAGTTGGTGGTGATTAGTTCAGAAATTAGGCTCTGTCTACCCAGGTGAGAGACCTGCAGTGTGCCCCTAGCTTTTGGCCTTGACCCGGCCCAGCCCTGCTGTTAGGGGAACTTGGAAAGTAAATCAGCAATTGGCAGTGCTATCTCACTGAAAGAAATTTCATATATATTACAGTACATGTATAATAAAAGTACTGCCACTACCAGAAGTAACCAGTGTATAAAAACTGCCAAGATAGTTAATATTCATTTTTTTGTGATATTAAATCTTTGGATTCCAAAGTATAGCTAACACAACACAGCTTATTTCAGGGGTAGCTATATTTCAAATACTAGATGTAACAAATATACCCAGTGGCTACCATTATTAAAACCATCAGTTTAGATAGAAA